TAAACATACATATATATTTATATGTAACTTTTTTAACAGGTATCTCAACGGCCATCCTTATCAAGTTTAGAAACATTAATGGTATCCCAGAAGTCTGAAATTGAGTACTTACAGGAGAAACTGAAAATAGCAAATGAAAAACTGTCAGAGAACATATCTATAAACAAGAGTTTCTCAGAGAAGAGCATCATGACAAGTGTTGAAGCAAAACATAAGGTTGGAACATTTTGTCATTTTATGAATTTGCCAGGGTGAGCCTGGCAAGGCAAGAGATGAGGTTAAAAAACAAAACGGCAGCATTTACTTCTCTGTTTATAATTCTGGAATCTTTTGAAAAATATTATGTGCCAAACTCTTGATAAAATACGTGTTAGGAATAGAGAGTTTTTCCTTTTTAAAAGCTGAGTTATATTGCCAAATTAATTAATTAAATATATTATTATTAGTATACCCGTTTTGCCAGTAAATTAATATTCTTATATTAAAAAGTTTTGCTAAGTGTTCCTCATCTATCTGATATGCTATTAACTTATCTGGTTAAAAATTCATTTTAAAATGGTATGTCATTTACTCAATTTTCTAGTAAATAAACAAATTGGGCATAGCATGTTTTTCATTTATTAATGTCTGACCTCTTTTTAGTATTCGTTATGTATTTGTGTTATGCTGCAAAAGTTTATACAGAGTTACTAATATAAAAATCCCATAATATCATGTTATGACTATGTTATTTCTAGATAAATTTAAATAATATTTTCTAAAAGTAAGAGTTTTAACATTTTTCTCATACTTGTTACTTCAGCAATAGAGGAATAATGTTTTTTATAAATAGAAAATCATGTTTTCAAGAATTGTTTTTGATTCTTTCCATTTTTTCTTTTGAGTAGAACAAACTATCTTAATAAAGGAAGAATTTAAAATTAAACCCATATTTCTGTGATACTCTAATTCACTCTCCAAAATTATTAGTAATTTTCAGAGGAATAAGCTTTATTTATTTATTTGTTAAAACATAACTGCATTATACATTTCTTGCTATTTTGAAGTAGTTTCACAAACATTGAGCTTTATTTAAATGAAAAAAAATCCTAACATCAAGATAGAACATTCTAGGGCCTAATTTGGTTGATTGCTGTATTGCTGAAGTTTAAAAAAGCACTGCTTTGACATGTCTCTGCTTTTAATGAAAGTCCAGAAAAGAAGGGGGGTATTTTAGGCCAAAATTTTCTTTCCTTTTTGTAAGGACATGCGATAAGGATGAACACTATGTTGCCCAGCATAATAGCTGCTTTCACATATTCCTTCTCCAGATTGGTATATGAAGCTGTACATAATATAAACACATTCTTGTCTCTAGTTAGGCACATTATAGTTAATGACCATATGGTCATTATGATATAAGATCTACTGTCTGTTGTATTTATATTCCTCAAGCATATTGTTCCTTCAACTTCACAGTGTGTTAAACTATTTCAAAGGGAAAAAAATCCTTTCCCTCTTGTTTCTGGTTGTCCTATCAAGTGTAACCTTGGACCCTTATAGAGCAATTAGACCAGCCTCTATCCCCTCCTTTGTAATGAGGTTTCTTGCATTTCTGAGTCTATAACCCTTTAGTCTTCCCTAATGGGACATCATTATTCTGAAAGAAACAATGTAAATGTAAATGAATATTCTCATTAACGAGTCACAGAGAAACCTTTAGCGGTAGCACTGTGGTAATTCCGCTTGTTATTTCTCTGGTATTCCATGCAGGATTTTTTTTTTTTTTATAATTCATTATTAGTATTCAAAATTACTTGTTCTTTAATTTTGCATGTCTTTCATAATCCGGTGTTCCAACTAGTTCAACCATGTCCTTGTTTTATTCTCGAGGAACCACCTGTGAAACGTTCAAGGTCTTTGTCCCCAAAGAGCTCTTTCAGAGACTCAGAGGAGCTAAGGAAGCTGAGAAAAGCTGAAAGAAAGATTGAAAACTTAGAGAAGGCACTACAACTAAAGGTGAACATTAAATCATTTCTTTAATAGTAACCTTGCAAAGAGAAAAATATACCAAAGAAAACATACATTTCACAAATTGCTGCTTGTCATTTTTCTTTCCTGAATTTAATTAACCCATGCAAAGCATGCAGTTTATCTTGTTTTTAAGATTTCTGAGGATCATAAAGTTATAAAAAATATTTTCTACTTGAAAACTAAATATTCACTACTTTCAAATTATTGGGGAATATTTTGGTTTAAAATTGGGAATAAATTTCTTATAGTTTCTCAGAGACAAAAAAAATCAAACTGTAGCAAGTAGAAAGAGAATTTCTTGTTGTTCTTTATATGTGATAAACATATAAAAACAAAAGTGAGTTTAAAACCATATTAACCTAGCTTAGGTAATTTACAATTATCCTTTATAGAAAAATTACATAGTCAAAAATGACAAATATACATTTTTTTTTTCATTTCAGCTGAATTTGTCTCAGAACACATGAAATTTGAATAAGCACTCTACCCATGTTTTAGAAGCACAGACCTTATTGTCTTATCTTTGGGAGCTTATATTTCCTAATTCATACTTTGTGAATTCTCTTTCTCAGAAGTTCTTCATGCATATCGAATCCATTTTATGTGACTATATGGAGGGCTTTTGTTTTTTTTCTCTGACTTTATGGCAGACTGTTCATTCTTCATTCACCTCTACCCTGTTTGAAGTTCAATCATATAATTGATTTTCAAATAGTTTTATGATATTCTATGACAAGTCCAATGCTTTATACGTGATTAGAACCCAGTACATTTAAAGCTTAGATTCTGTGTCATATAATACAGATTACTCTTAGAGAGAAAAAGGTTTGACTTAGATTATCTGTGTTCTAGAACAAAATACGGTTTAAGGGTATAGTTAACCAGAAGCTATAATTAATAATCTTGTCTGCCTCTTCACTAAACATTGTGTTAATTTATGTTTATTCATAAACTGTTCTAAAACAAAGGAAAATTATCATCTATTGTTTCTACCAAAAATAAAATGACCACATGACTTCAGCTAGCATTAGCCTACTTGAAATTTATAAGGAACTTAGACCAACACCCAAGTTACTTGTTCATTCATTTACTCAATAGGAATTATTGAGCATCGCAATTAGCCAAACATTGTACAAGTTACTTGTACAATGGGAAATATGATAAGTTGCTACCTTTGAAGACCTTTTCTCTAGTTAAGAAGATGATATGTGAGTAGTTAGAATCTAGTGTGTTAAGTGTAAATGTGTGGGTAAGCACAGGATATTATGGACATTTTTAAGAAACCAGTCTAATATAATTCTTGAAATTTGCATACCAAGTCTTCTATCCTGAGTTCTCCAGAGAAATAAAGAACCAATTATAGATATATTACAACAGTTACTATATTGGTATAATGCCTTATAGTAAATTACACACATATATGTGGCTCACATGATTATAGGGGCTGAGAAATCTAAGATCTGTAGTTGGCAAGCTGGAAATCAGGAGTGCAGATGGTATAGGTCCAGTCCGAGCCCAAAGGCTATAGAATCTGGAGAGCTGATGGTATAAATTCAAGTCCAAGTCTGAGTCCAAATCTGAAGGCAAGAGAAGACCGATGTCCCAGCTTGAATACAGTCAGGCAGGGAGAAATAAACCTTTCTTACTCAGCCTTTATTCTATTTAGGCTTTCAACAGATCGAATGAAGTCCATCCACATTGGGGAGGGCAATCAGCTTTACACAGTCTACTGATTAAAATATTAATCTCATCTATAAATCTCCTCACAGATCCACCTAGAAATAATATTTAACCAAATATCTGGGAAGTCAAATTGACACATAAAATTAACCATCACATATCCTATTCAGTAGTAGAGGACTTCCATTTTTTTGCCTCTAGAGGTCTGTAAGTCTTTGACAGTCTCTTATTTTTGGAATGAAGGAATAAAGCAATTGAGACATTTTTAGATCTGTTGCCTTCTCTTCTACCTCTTGACTTCTGTGTTTCAAAAAGAATCTCAGAAGGCTTATACTAAATTGATTTCCTTGTTTCATTTTCCTGACAACAGTTTTCTGGGGCTGAGGCCCCAAGTTATTTTCAGAGTAAAATTCCTTTTTTTTTTACAATATTTCTTTTTCATTTATAGTTTTATATATTCATATTTTAAGTTAATTCATAATCATGAATTTTAAATTTGTGTCTTCTTTTACAGATTTGCAAGGTAAGGAAAAAGTGGGAGCAAATTTTTCCTTGTTTTTATCATTTAGTAGGAAAGGATTTTTTTTTTTTAAAGGAGCAAGATAGTTGAATGAAAATGGTACTATAATCAAGAACATTTAGCAAAAGAAGTAGGTAAATAAACCCTATATAGTAAAGCAAGTCCAAGGAAAGTGATTGAGCCCAGAGTACTTTTTAATTGACTTTCTTCTAATAAGAATAACTGTCATAGTTAGTGAAAAAAGAAGACCTCATTCTATATTCCCTTTTATTATTCTATAATATTTATATTATTGCTATTACTAAAGTACATGTGAGTATAAAGTAATGTAGTAATTAATACTTTGTATTAGTTTCCTAGGGCCACTATAACAAAGTGCCACAAACTAGGTGGCTTAGAAAAACAGAAACTTACTGTCTCAAAGTTGTGGAGGCTGGAAAAGTCCAAAATCAAGATGTCAGCAGAGTTGGCTCCTTCCGAGGGCTATGAGGGAGAATCTGTTCCATTCCTCTCTTAGCTTCTGGTAGCCTCTGGTATTGGTTGGCCTGTAGATAGCATTATCCCTGTGTCTTCACATTGTCTTCCCTCTATGCATGTCTTTCTCTCCCTGTGTCTAAATTTCCCCTTTTTATAAGGGTATCAGTCATATTGGATTAGAGCCCACCCTAATCTGAATTTTGACTTGATTATCTATATGAAGTCCCTGTCTTCAAATAAGACCACATTCGGAGGTACTGGGGGTTAGGACTCCAACATACTTTTGGATGGAAGGGATACAATTCAACCCATTAAGGTTGTCTTATAGTTTTTAAGATATATTTGTTGATTTTGGTGCTCCTTTTGTAGACTATTACTTGTTAATACATGTTGAATTTTTTGTCATGGTCTTTGGTGTTATATGGAACACAGCTCTGAGAGAAGTTAATGGGAGCATGACAGACAAAAATGTTCAATGTTCAAATAATTATTATAAACAGTACATTAAAAGCTTTCTTTTTTGTGAACCTTTAGCGTATTAATGTGCTTTGTGAATCAATAGAAAGGTATAGACATATCTTTTCCCGGATTTGTTTGGTTATATTATATTTGCTAATATTTCTTAAAAGACTGTGGTTGTTCCATGAAAGATACTGTGAACTAGTTTAGCTAAACTACAGACTAAAGACATGCTCCATGGCACAGTAGGTAGCTTTAGGGTCCCAATTTGATTACCAAGGTGGATTGAAGGATAGGAGGGACAAATAAGTTTCACCAGTCATAGCTCATGAAATACAGGCATATATACTTTGATACATTAAAATGATGCTTTTTATTATATCAGCAGTAAATTATGCATATTAATTGATTCTTATACTAGTTATGAATTTTGTATAAAATATTAACACATTATCTTGTTCGGCTTACTTGTGTAGCTAGTTGTACGTATTTTCAAGATAGATGACTGATGTAATAAATAAACCAATAGTAATAGAAATGGAAGCTGTTTTTATAAAAATCCCACCCATGTTCCTGACTTTGTGAATATAGCGCTCTAACAACCATAATTTGCCTAACAACCACTACATCTGAGCTTTGTGAAATCTTTATTATTCTTGAGATCACTAATGCAGTGAGTCCCTGCTTTACTGCCTTTCATGCATTTGGCAACTTGATTCTATTAGCACTTTTCAAAGTCCTTTAATAACATCAATATGTCCTCTGAATGCACTTTACATGTCTTATTTTTCAATATTCTGGTATACATGAATTTAATATATTCTGCTGAAATTAAATATGCATAGCAGAATCCTTGGTGTTTTATTTTATAAAAGTTTTTTGACTTTTCTTTTTCTTCTCTAAAACCTTTCTCTTATTCCCTGAAGATCAAGCCACTGCTTTGTGAACAGTATTTGTGCTTTTAGTTCACTTTATTCTTGCCAAGGAACCTTTGGCCAAACCAGAAAATTAGATCAAAAATCATTTCTGTTCTTATGAATGCAAAAATAGAATTAATTGCAGATATCTTTGAGGCAAGTCAGTTGATAAAATTTTTTCTATTTTCTATTAATATTTCTTAATGTTTCAGTCTTTCAGACTTGTTTCTACCCAGAAGTTAGAGTGTCTAGTTTAGCTAGTTTAATTGCAAAATCTATAGAAGGTACTCAGTTAAATGTTTTATTGAATGATCTAATGAATGAATCTCAGTAGCTGCCCATGGAATATTTTTGTGTGTATCTTAGGAAAATGTAGTAATTAGTGATATAAAATGTATTTTTCAGACCTTACTTTTGATTTTGTTATAAAATCTTTCTTGGCAATATTTCCCAAATAAAGTACTATGATTTTGACTTTGACTTTTTTGTTTTTTGACAGAGGGTCTTGCTCTGCTGCCTGGGCAAGAGTACAATTGCATGGTCATAGCTCACTGTAACCTCAAACTTTTGGGCTCAAGTGATGCTCCTGCCTCAGCCTCTCAAGTAACTGAGGCTACAGGCATGTGACACCATGCCTGGCTAATTTTTCTATTTTTTTGTACATATGTTGCTCAGGCTGGTCTCTAACTTCTGACCTCAAACAAACCTCCAGCCTCGGCCTCCCACAGTGCTAGTATTATAGGCACGAGCCACCATGCCTGACCTAACTTTGACTACTATATGTCAAATGAGACTTAAAGGATCATATTCCAAACTAAAGTTAAGCTATATTTCTTAGAAGATTATTTTATTATTTTTAAAATGTATTTTGGTTAATATATTCAGTTTTTATAGATGATTTCTCCTGATGTGTTTAGCAGCATTAAAATAGGGAAAATGTTTTTCTTTGAGCTATATCTATCTTACATTTACATTTTATAAAATTTATTATGTATTTCTGAAGTAGGACAAATAATGGTCTCTAGGACTAATTTAATGCATGAATTATACTTGATATCAGCATCCTGAAAGCATGAATCTATGGATGAAACTGAATTTTAAAACAATTATTATTATAAATCATGTCTATCAAATTGATGTACAAATAATCACTAGTTGAGTTTCATTTTTTAATAGTTTAGATTTTAATATTAATAACTTTATAAGATTGTGTAAGCACTCTAGTGTTAGCATAAATTAGGAAGCCAGTAAAATTAAAGCAGAAAATTCATCTACGAAACCATTTTTCTATAATCACTGCTTAATGGAAATAGCCACTTATTTAAATTACTATAGGAAAACCAAAAGTATTTGCTAATGTTGAACGTTTTACACTAAAGCTTTAGGAATCACAATTGGCAGCATTTAGTGCTTTGATTAATTAATATGCCTAGTATAGATCCTCGCACATCGTGAGTGATATACAGGACTCAGGAGATTTTTATTGAGTCTTAATCTTTGGTTTAATTGTGTAATATAGTTAGTTGCTATTTGAGAATTAGGGAAAGAATTGGATATAAATTTAATGATTAGTGGTAGCTGAGGCAGTACCAAAAAATGCTAAATATAGTGAAAATACTAACAAGATTCTCAATTGCTTCCATTAATTCAACCGAGGATCATTGTGAAAAGTAATCAAGAAAATTTGTATGTCCCACTCTATTAATTTTCACTTTTGGGTCAATCTTTTAGGTTCCATTTACTAAGAATTTCTGATGACTCAGAACTTTAATGATCCCCCAAACAAACACTTGGTTTATATGTAATACTTTTTTTTTTGAGACAGGGTTCCACTCTGTTGCCGGGGCTAGAGTGTAGTAGTGTGATAGCTCACTGTAACCTCAAACTCCTGGGCTGGAGTGATTCTCCCACCTTAGCCTCCTGAGTAGCTGAGACTACAGGCACGTGCCACCACACCCAGCCAATTTTTCTATTTTCTTTAGAGACAGGGTCTTACTATGTTGCTCAGGCTGGCCTTGAACTCCTGGCCTCAAGCAATCCTCCCGCCTTGGCCTCACAAGTGCTAAGATTAAAGGCATGAGCCACTGTGCTGGTCTATATTTTATACTTTTTAAGAAATTCATTGTAAAATAAAAGTTTAGGGGAAGAACTTTGATTCAATGAAGAATAATTACAGAAAGCTATTTTGGAAGTCTTTAACATAAAATCTTCATTTAAGTTTAACTATAAATTTATTTTGAAATTGTTTTGACATGAATCTTTTCCAATATGGTCTATAAATTTCTTATAATTAAATTATTAATAAATTTCTAATATATCCTGTTGAAATTCCTAATAAATTTTTTAGTTTTAAGGAATTCCAATAAACATAATTAACATGTTTATTTATCAGAAGATACCAACATTATTAATTATTATCTTAATTATTAAGATGTTATTATCTATGTGGCTAATTTATTTGTTTCACCTTCTTAAGACTAGAAAATGTATTGTCAAAGATGTGAAGTGATACTTGGATTGTTTGCCAAACTTAGTATGAAAAATTCAAGTTCCAAGTTAAATAATTCTTTCTGTCTTAGAAGGAGAGATATAAATAGCTTCTATTTTGAAGATGGAGAAACTGAGATGTACCAAATTTACATAGCTGTATCAAAGTAAAATGTAGTAACTTTCAACCACCACATTTGAACTCTTATCAGCACCTAACATGTAATAGGCTATTCCTGTATGGTTTTTAAATTGAAATGAACAAAATTGAACTCAGTTTCCTGAATATTTGACTTTTACTTCATGTATTAATTTATGCCACTTTTGAGCAAGTTTGCATTAACTGTGAATTATATATCTTCTAAAACTCTATAGTATAACTTTTATTTTGAATGCCCCATCAGCTGACGCCATTCTCATGGTTTTTTTGTTGTTTTTTTTAATTTCAGAATATTACGGGAGTACAGACGTTTTAGTTATATAAATTGCTTTTGTACCATTTGAGTCAAAGTTATAAATGTGCCCGTCCCCCAGATAGTGTGCATTGTACTCGTTAGATGTTAATTTATCCATCCCCTCCTCCACCCTCCCATCTGCTTGATTTCCAATAAATGTTATTTCCATATGTGCACATAAATGTTGATCGATTAGTTCCAATTTAATGGTGAGTACATGTGTTGTTTGTTTTTCCATTCTTGTGATGCTTCACTTAGAAGAATGGGCTCCAGTTCTATCCAGGTTAATACAAGAAGTATTAGTTCACCATTTTTTAAATGGCTGAGTAGTACTCCATGGTATACATATACCATATTTTATTAATCCACTCATGTGTTGATGGGCACTTGGGTTGTTCCTACATCTTTGCGATTGTGAATTGTGCTGCTATAAACATTCGAGTTCAGGTGTCTTTTTTATAGAATGTCTTTTTTCCCTTTGGGTAAATACCCAATAGTGGGATTCCCTGATCAAATGGTAGTTCTACTTTTAGTTCTTTGAGGTATCTCCATACTGCTTTCCATAGAGGTTGTACTACTTTGCCAGTCCCACCAGCAGTTTATGCGTGTTCCTATCTCTCCGCATCCACACCAATATTTGTTGTTTTGGGACTTTTTGATAAAAGCCATTCTCAGTGGATTTAAGTGATATCTCATTGTGGTTTTGATTTGCATTTCCCTGATAATTAGAGATGTTGAACATTTTTTCATATGTTTGTTGGCCATTAGTCTACCTTCTTTTGAAAACTTCTGTTCATATCTTTTGCCCACTTTTTAAAGGGGTTGTTTGATTTTTTCCTTGCTGATTTGCTTGAGTTCTTTATTAATTCTAGTTATTAGACCTTTATTAGGTGTATAGCATGCAAATATATTCTCCCATTCTGTCAGTTGCCTGTTCACTCTAATGATTTTTCCTTGGCTATGCAGAAACTTTTGCTTTTTCATCAAGCACTTCTATTTCCCTATGGCGTAAGGAACACTTCTTGGTACACACAAGACTCAAATACTTGCTAATAACTACTTAAGAGAATTATCCTACTAGAAATGTATTAAAAGTAGAATGACAAAATATCCATACTGCTGAGAGACAATAGAATTACAGTAAAATAATGCAAACTCTATAAAGTATTATCTTACTGTTTAGATGAGAGGTAAATGATCAAGAACACAGTGAATTTGGCATGTAAAGGCATCACTGTTAATACCTGGGAAATGGAGACTGAAAGAAGTTAATTTTTGTTTTCCTTTTTTAGTTCTTTATGGTTCAACCCTAAAAGGATAAACTGTGCTACTTCTCACATAGGTCCAGCTTCATTTTCTTCCTCCTGTATAATCTTTGTGCTCTGTTACATATTAGTTTTTGAATTCATGGGCTGAAGAATTGGTCTTACTGTGATTAATGTCCTTATTCTAGTCATATTTGCACTTTAACAAAATAATCATGCTTTACATATAGATAAATCCTTGTGCTGAAAAAGAGAATTAAAATCTGTAATACAGGCTTATGAACATTTATGTGTATATTAACAACAGGGAAAAGAATGAAAATAACTTGATGGCAAAATTTTGAAATTATGTAAGCAGCTTAAAAAATGCTGTGTGTGGGTTGAATTTCTCAAGCAAACCTATTCTATGACTTGAGAAATTCAATTTTCTTCTGCTTAAATAAGTATTACAAATTTACTCATGTTTACACATTTTTTTTAAATTTCATATTTAGATAGGTTACCTTTTATTTCAAACATTAAGCTAATACTTTCTTCAAACTTATATACTTGCTTTTTTGTGTTCTACAGAGCCAAGAAAATGATGAGCTAAGAGATGCCCATGAAAAACGCAAGGAAAGGCTACAGATGTTACAGACCAACTATAGAGCAGTAAAAGAGCAATTAAAACAGTGGGAAGAAGGCCGTGGCATGTGAGTTACATAGCTCATAAAGGCATTTCCCTAAATATTAAATGGAATGGAGTAGCGTTATATAGGTGTTTTAATGGCTTTTGTTTGGTTTTAAAGAAATTATTTGGTAGTCAAATCTTTATTGTGAATTTTTAAATGGAGAATATAACAAATGAAAACAGAATATAACTATAGATTTGCCTGTCATTTGTAGATATCAAATGGAGGTGATTATGAATTATTATATACATTTTTAATATTAATAGAATAGCTTAATAAAAGTATATAATTTAAAGCAAATATAGTTAATAGCCATGTGGTTGGAAAACTGCTTTTAAATAAATAAAATAGTGGTGTTAAAATGTTTATAACCCAGAAAGTATTTAAGTTTTAATGGAAAGACAGGAGAAATATGAAATTCACATATATAGTTAACTATCTTAAAACTATTCCAACCTAGTATGCAATTTGAAGATCTTTACTATCCATCAGTTTGTTCTCCAGCTTATCTGAATGAATTGGCAGTCTCAATTCAATTGCTCTGAACAGGTGTTCAGATCTTGGTTAGTTGTAAGTGGCTCCCCTGTTAACAGTATCAACAGAGGGCAAAGGACTGAATGAGTACAGAAAATCTACTACCCTCTCATCTTTTGAGATGGATCCTTTAGGGCAATGTTGATGATACACATTGGTCTGTTCTGTAGAGAAATACTGTTTCTAAATTGGCCAGTACAGCACTTTTACAAAGTGAGAATGAAGAGTTTGTTTTATGTACAGAAAATGAAAAGGTGAAGGGCATTTGGCGTCATTTATAGATAATTGTCACATCTGATTTTTTCTTTTAATGAATGGAGGTGTTTCATATTGCTTGTCAGTAAAGCAGTGATAAAGCAATTTGTTCTAGATTTAGCCTTTGCTCACCTAACTTTTTAGTAATCACTAGAAGATTGAAATGTACTTTCTGACATATGCACTGGTAATAGCTTTTTTAAAGATAGGGCATCTATACCACATTCAGATTGATAGGCAGCAAATTCTGGATGAGTTGGTTGCGTATAGTCTTTTTTGGAGACTGTTAAAATTCTGAAGTGTATGTTTTATTACTATTAAAATGAATGAAAGACCTAAGAATATCATGTATCTGCTTAAAAGTTTACTTTCCATAGGTGCAGTTTAGCTTTAGGAAATTATGATAGGAGATTTTAATTTCTACATGCTTAGGTTTTAGGAAATTCATCCAATAAACAGCTTGAATTAGAAATTTGGTTAATAGATATTTTTAAATTTTATGGAGTATATAAATTAATTATATTGCATTTTGAAGATGTTAAAGAAAAAAGCAACTTTATTTTAAAAATAGGACTGAAATCAGAAAAATAAAGAGAGCAGATCCCCCACAACTTAGACAAGAAGATTCTGATGCTGTATGGAATGAACTGGCATATTTCAGAAGGGAAAACCAGGAGCTAATGATTCAAAAGTGAGTTTCTTTCTTTTTTAACAATACAGACTTAGATAAACATTTGAGAGGATGATTTTGTGGCTTAAAGCACATTAGAGAAATATTTTATAAAATTTGAAAATGAAATAATCTGATTCTTGCCAATGAAAGTAAAGAAAAAAAGACTAGCTTTTAAAAATATACATGTATCTATCTCATGCAATAACAAGTTGCACATTTGCTAGCTCTAACAGAAACTGTATAATAATATGATCTAGGGATTGTGTTAATTAATGTGGCTCTCATCTGTTGGAGGTGTCGCTCTTCATTAGCCTGTATTTTAGACACTGCCGTGCTTCATTTTTGGAATGAGGTGGAGAGGGGATAACCTAGCCAGCCATCCTTGTTTGATCTCCTAGATACATACGCAATGCAGAATGCCTGAGCTCTCTTGGTTCCCTGCCCTGTCCTGCTAATCCCAGCTGAGCTCATTATGGTGTAGCCTTGCTGCTACTCTTGGAGCCAGAGCTGTCCAAGCTAATTACTGGTAGCAGCAGAACTGCCTGTTAAGGGTCTGGTGTGGATCTGCTAACATGGTCCTTGGTAGTGACCTGCAAAAGACACGAGGGAATTGCTTTCTTTCTTGCTGTGCACTGCCTGTCCTTTGGGCTTAATGCTGATTTTTCCACACAGGTCTTTTAGCTGCCCTAAGTATAAAACTTGATGAAGGATACTTCATATTTTAGAAAACATACAGTTTGCTTGCTTGATCTTATAATTCGCAGGCTATTATATTCATCCTGGCAAAGAAAGAACACTTCTTTTTTTTTTTTTTTGAGACAAAAAGGAGTTAGACTAATATAATTAGCCTCTTCTGCTACTTAACTATTTCTTCATTTAGAGTTAATTTCTTGACATTTGGACTATACAGTTTTTTCAAAAGCCCGTATGTCTTTTAGATTGCTAGAATTTACCATCATATGACATATTGTAATTAAATGTTACTGAATTTTCTTAGCTATAAATCAGAAGTTGTTTTATATACTACATGATAACATGTATAACTTTTGATTACAACCTTTCCCATGTAATGATGAACTTTTGAGGAAATGACCACATCAAGTTTAAATGTATGCTCCCGTTTACCTCTCGAAGTGCAGCGTATTCTACTACTGCTACATATTTGATCCTGATAATGAAGTCTCTTATTTAAAAAATTATCTTATAGACTACATAGATTTATCCCAGAAGCATTTCCTGATAATCTTTGTAGCTTTTTTATAATACACAAGCCATACAGTTTACTCATATACACTGTATAATTCAATGGCCTTTAGTATATTCAAAGAGTTATACCATCCATTATCACAATCAATTTTAGGACATATTCATCACCACCACCTCCAAAACCTACACAACTTAGCTGTCATTCCCCAACCCTCCCATGCACCCTCCTCTACCCTAGGAAACTACTAATCTACTTTCTGTGTCTATAGGTTTGCCTATTCTGCACACCTCATGTAAATGGGATATTATACAATCCTTTGTAACTAGCTTTTTGCATTTAGCATAATGTTTTCAAGGTTCATCCATGTTGTAGCATGTATCAGTGCTTTATCTGAGAATCTTTAATGAGTTTTCTGTCTCCAAAAAAAAAAAGTTAATTTTGGATGAAGTGAATTACAGAGACCTAATCTAACTAGTTGCAAGATTTAATCTATTCAAGAAAATTCAGGCAGAGGTTACATGTAAGTGGTACATTTGAGGTTTATTTTATTCATTAATGAAACAGCACTAAAGAAAAAGTAATAAGACCTTTTTAAGAAAGTTAAAGAACTTTCAGAATTATGATATGTTCACTCAGTAGTGTTTGTATTTTAAAAATAACCCTTTTGAATTGAATGATAAGAGTCATTATCAAAGTATGGAATTTTTCCTAAAATCTGTTTATGTTCATTAAAATGATAGCCAATTGTAAAATAATTTTTCAGATCAGTCTTAACTTCGTAAAAGATAATGAATTTTTTTAAAGAATCGAATAAACTTTAAATCATGTAAAGATTTTGGGGGGGAGGGTTGAGTTATTTTGTGAAACATTTATTCAGTTTACAAACATGTTTGAGTTACTGCTTCCTGACATGCACTTTGCTAGGTGAATGAAATGAGAACACCAGACAAACCTTCTATTCTCAAGGAGCTTACTTGGAAACGTGTTTAGTATTAAATGTTCTTAATGGAATGTGTTGTTAAAAATAAAACTAATTTCAAAAAGTATCATGATGAAATGATAAGACTTATAAAACATCATTGTTTTATTCATTAAAGTTTGTTTACTGATGAAGACAGAATTTTTTAAAGAAATGTTTGTTTAGTACATTAACCTTTTTAGTGTGTGGCTTTACGAGTTATAACGCATGTGTAGATTCAAGTATCTGCCACCACAATCAAGATACAAAATAGTTCCATCATCTGAAAAATTTCCTTGTTCTGCCCCATTGTAGTCAAATCCTTCCACTACTCCTAATACCTAGCAACCACTGATTCATTCTCCCTCTCTAGAGCTTGACCTTTTTCAGAATGTCATACACATAGAATCATATAGGCTGTAACTATTTTTGTTGTTTTTGGCAAAATATCAAAATGTGTGAGACGCTGTAACTTTTTGAGACTGGCTTCTTTTACTCAGCATAATGCCTCTGAGATTCATTCAAGTTGGTTCATCCACTTTGTTCCTTTTTATTGCTAAATGATATTCCATTATATGGATATACCAGTTTATCCATCTGCTGAAGAACATTTGGGTCTTTTCTAGTTTTTTGGAGTTAAAAATGGAGCCTGCCTATACACAGGTTTTTTCATTTGAACATAACTTTTTGAACACCCACGAGTTGCTTTGCTGGGTCATATGGTCGGTGTATGTGTAACTCTATAAGAAACTGCCATACTGTTTTCCAGAGTAGCTATACCATTTCATTCCCACCAATAATTCATCAGAGTCCAGTTGCCCTATGTCCTTGTGAGCACTTGGTGTTGTCAGTATTATTTTAAAATGGTACCAGTAGATATCCCATTGTGATTTTAATTTATATTTTCCTAATGGTTAATGGTTAATGGATTGTCTTTTCATGTGCTTATTTGCCATCTTTATATCATCTTTGATGAGTATCTGTTGAAATATTTCGCCCATTTAAAAATTGGTTGGTTATTAAATTAAACAAATTTTTCTTATTTTTGAGCTTTAAGGGTTCTTTATATATTCTATATACAAATCGTTAATGTGATTTGCAAATATTTTCTCCCATTCTGTAGATTGCCTTTTCATTCTCTTAACGTGTATCTTTTGCATGGCAAAAGTTTTTAATCTGATGAAATCTAGTTTATCCTTTTTTTTCTTTTATGGATCATGGCTTTGAGAGTTATTTCCCTGATGTAGGTCACAAGGATTTTATCTCATGTTTTCTTCTGAAGAAGATTTACATGTTGTATTTAGCTCTATGATCCATTTTGAGCTTTTTATATCAAGTGTACATTATAAGTTAAAGTTCATTTTTTTGCAAATATGTGTCCAGTTGTATCAATATCACTTTTGATAGGCTATCTTTTCTAAAATGAATTGCCTTTGTAACTGTCAAATATCAATTGATTATATTTCTGTAGGTCTATTTTAGGACTCTGTTTTATTCCATTAATCTGTATTATAAGATTTCATGAGAACCACCTGGTTTTGATTACTATAGCTTTCTAACAGATGTTAAACTCAGTAAGAGTGACCAACTTTATTATTCTTTTTCAAAATTGGTTAAGACTTTTTAGTCCCTTTGTCTTTCCATATAAGTTTTAGCTACAAAAATAAGTTAAAAAAAGAAAAAAGGATTGGAATTGTGCTAAATCTATAGATCAGTTTGGAAAGAATTAACATACTAACCGTGTTGAGTCTACCATTCCATGAATGCAGTGTGTTTCTTAATTTATTGAGATTTTCTTTTTTTCTTTTTAATAGTGTTTTGTAATTGTAGCTTACAGGGTCTGCATGTCAATACCTTTGTTAGATTTGTACCAAAGTGCGTAATTTTTTGGAACTATTTTAAATGGTATTGTAATGTTTATTTTGGTTTCTAATTGTACATTGCTAGTGTATTTCCATATACTAAGTTATTTTTTCACATGCTGACATTTTATCTTGCATTATTGGTATGTTACAGCTAAGTCTGCCATGTTATTATTTAATTTTTCTTTGTTTCCTCTGTTTCCCTTTTGTGAGTTACTTGAGCATTTTTTAGAATTCCATTTTTATTTATCTACGGGGTTTTTGAGTATATCTCTTTAAATAGTTTTTATAGTGTTCGCTCTAGGTATTATATTATACATACATAACTTATTACCATCTAATGGAATCAACATTTTACCACTTTAAGTGGAATGTAGAAACCCTACCTCCATTTACATGCCTTTATTCTCCCCCCTTTATAATTATCTCAAATATATTCTCTAGTTACATTGAGAAGCTCATCACAGGATGTAATAATTTTTGCTTCAACTGTCAAATATAACTTTTAAACTATAAAACATGGATATTCTATCATACTTAGCCATAGATTATCTTTACAGATAAATGTAATGGAGGTATTTTTATCCCTTCTTCTGTTATTTCTTCATTTCTAATCTTCCAAGTTTCTTCTTTTATCATTTTCTTTCAGTTTGAAGAACTTCCTTTAGAATTCTTTAGGGTAGGTTGTCTGGCAACAAATTCCCTGTTTGTTCTCATTTAAAATGTCTTGATTTTACCTTCATTACTGAAAGATATTTTCCCTGGACATAGAATTCTAGATTAGCAATTCTTTTCTTCATCACTTGAAAAATGTGCCACTTCCTTCTGGTCTCCAGATGAAAAATACACTGCTTGAATCTTTGTTCTGCTATAGGTAACACATCGTTTTCCCTACCTGCTTTCAATCATTTTTCCTTTTTCTTTACCTTTCAGAAGTTTGATTATAACATGTCTCAGCATGGATTTATTTGAGTTTATCCTATTTAGGATT